AAAGTGCCCAAGTTGGAAAAACACTGATATAAAGCAAGTTAGCCCTAAATTTGGGGTTTGGTGGGGTGTTTCTGGCAGGCACAGCTTTGGCACGAAGCAAAGGGGGGTAGTTTCAGGGGTGGAGTACTCAAGAGCGGAGCTGATGCCATCCCAGCGTTGGGACCACATTGATGCCAAGCGCAGAGGATTTGCATAAATTTAGGCTTCAGGGATGGTGCATTTGAAATCCTTATTTAACCTCCCTGAGTGTCTCCGGGGGAAGGGGTGGAACGGGTCCAAAGAGAATAAGAACGAGAGTAATTGATTAAGTTTAATATCTTCTTCTTCTTCTCCTCTTTGGGAAATTCGGGGAGGGTCAATGAGGCTGTGCCGCCCGACTCCCAGCGACCCTGAGCGGGGCAATTTGCTTTGAGATTATTCCGTCTTTGAGAGTTTTTAATCGCTCTCCCGTGTTTTATTCCATGTACGTTTTATGGTTTCTGATGAAGGGCGGCTTGATAGATAAATAAATATTGGGTTTTACTCCTTTGTCGTCATTATTTTCTGGGGCTGCTTTTTAAGAATACACAAAAGGGATTTTGAGACGGGAGACGATCCCGCTACCGGCGGAAGGAGCCATAAAGGGAGAATAAACTTGGGCAGCTTGAAGGCGCGGCCAGATAAAACGCTACGTTTAGCTGTACTGCTGTACAGGTAGTCCCCGGGCTAAGAACGCCCGGCTTAAGGACAACCCATAGTTAAGAATGGAGTTAATTGCACGATACTACTTATGCAGTATTATACAATCATACTGTTCCAGCTTCCGTACATGCAAATTCGACTTAAGGACAAACCTTGGGAATGGAACTCGCTCTTGAACTGGGGACCCCCGGTACTGTACCTTAAAACCCTGCTGAAACAGAATTTAATTTCTCAACCTGCCTGCATCTCTGTTACAATGCCTGTGAGAATTCACAGAGGGCATTTCCTCTCTGTAAGCAGCACCAACGAGCAATCCCAGGACACGAGTATTTTTCCAAAGCACGGCTTTGCCCTCATGTGGCTTTCTTTTTTTCCTTTCGCAGGGTTAAGCCTGAAGAAATCCGCTGCTTTTCTCAAAGCCTTAAAAGCGGAGCCGCGCTACCTCTTGGCCCAGAATGTTGCTACTTCTACAGACCTCCTGGATGGAACCCTTGACCGGGAGGTGCTGCAGAGCACCCTGCAAGTCTTTCAGCATGTGGTGCCGGCCGAAGGCAAGCCGGTCACCAACCAAAAGAATTCAGGTAACGTCTGCTCCCCGCCACCAGTGCCAGCCAAGCTCGGGAGCTTTCTTATACCTATGCTCAGACCTGGGTGTAACTGAGGAGTTTGTCATGGATGGAGGAGAGGGTAGGAGGTGTTCCCACCTGCGATTTCTTTCTTCTGGGTCATACCCACCAGCCGAAGCTACTGTTCCGGCAAAGGATATTTGCATCTTTAGTAGACGATGCCAGGAGAGAAGTGAAATGTCAGGAAAACCTTGGGCGTTTTTCATGTATTAAAAACATTTGCAAGATAAATCCTTCCAGCAGGGAGCATAATTGAGGATTCTGTATAATGCCTCCCCTAGACAGCTTTTTCAAGGAGCATCGATCCATCTCAAAACTCAGGGGGGGCGGGGGAAGAGGACTCCTGCCTTATCTCTGTAATTAGACCAGTGTTTCTCGACCTTGGTGACTTGAAGATGTCTGGATTACAACTCCCAGAATTCCCCAGCGAGCATGCTGGCTGGGGAATTCTGGGAGTTGAAGTCCACATGGCTCGCTGGGGAATTCTGCGAGTTGTAGTCCACACATCTTCAGGTCGCCAAGGTTGAGAAACACCAGTCTAGAAGGAAGGGGACTTTTAGCCCCTGAAGTCCAGCCCTTTGCAAAGGGGGTCTTAAGGTGGGTGTCAAGGGCCAGGTGCACCATGTTAAATTGCAGTGGGAGCCAGTAGCTCTGATTTGTAAAAATTGGTCCCTTCTGGCAAATAAGAGTTCTCTCTGGGCTGCTAAGATGGGGGATGTTTGTAAATTGGAATGATTTGGAGGAGAAGTTCCAAGTTTCATCTTGGAGAACAGGCATGGGGATAAGTGAGGGGTAGACCTGGATCCTTGGGGTAGGTGGTGTGAGCGTGCAGGTTTTGCTTTCTCTCTTTTCCTTGGAGTTCACACCATCTGCCTGTCTCTTCCTTTCGTTCTGGCTGGATTTTCAGGACGCTGCTGGATTTTCTCCTGCTTGAACGTGATGCGCTTGCCGTTCATGAAGAAGCTCAACATTGAGGAGTTTGAGTTCAGCCAGTCCTACCTTTTCTTTTGGGACAAGGTACAGAGAAAGGGTCTTGCCCAAAAGGGCATCCCTGTTTCCCTGCTTTGAGCATTTGACTGAAAGACCAGCC